CGAGCAGGTACAGAGTTGCTCCCCGCCCCTTGCTGTGCAGCCTCCTCTCTCTCACCTGATGTAGTCGTTTCTGCACAGGATCATACCGCTCTTGGTGTAACAGGAGGTGCCGATGTCCCCCAGCTGAGCCTGGCAGCAGGAGCACTTCAGGCATCGGCTGTGCCAGTAGCTATCCATGGCGTAGAGCAAGAAGCGATCCGCGATCTTCCCCCCGCAGCCTGCGCATCTTTTCCACGAGAGGGAGCCAGCGGTGACCGGGGGAGGTTGCGAGCTGCTGCCCGGGTTCACCATGGTCTGTGTAACAAGAAGAGAAGAGGGGGGAGGGAGAGGTGGTTAACTCCAGGCCATGAATCCTGTCCATGCCCTTCCTGGTGCGGTCGGGGGAAGGGGGGGGGGCGGCAACAGAGAGGGGACAGTGCAAAAGGACACTGTTACTTGTCTCGGGCTTTGTTCTGGCCCCACGAGCCTGCTTCCCTCCCAACTTGTCACCGGTGGCCTCACTTTTATTGTTGTCGCCCTCTTATAGTGAGGTTCTGGTACACCCCAAATGCACGTGCACACTGGGCAACATGTACCGAACTTCGTACCCCACCTGGAGTCCCAGGGGTCCGGCGCGACTGACATGAAAACGGGAGAGTGGAAGAGAACAGCAAATTGGCCCGCAGCCCTGCTGAAGCCATGTTCCCTGCGCAGGCAGAGCTCTGGGAAATGTAGCTGCAGTTCACAAGTTAGGAACAGTTCAGAGTTTTGTGCTAAAAGGAGAGATATGGGCAGCGTGAAAAGTTGTGAAACTGGTTTTTCAAATCTTCAAGAGCGGCTTTGCAAGCCATTGTAAGGCCGGCTCCATGATCGTCCCAGATCTCGTTTTTATTTAGAAAATCAGTGGAGTGTTTTCTCGGGGGTTTTTAGGACACTGGACTGAATAAAGGATAATTGAACTTTAGAACTCCTATACAAACACTCTCCACTTTTGTCTCGCTAATCTGCCCTTGATCAGCAATTTAAATGCTAAACCTTTGTTACGCCAAAGGGGAAAAAAAAGTTTACTGATAATACAATAGACCAGAACATTCAAGTGCACCACACTCAGGCTGGAGCATGGCTGCCTCCAAAACTGCTGAAGTGCTTCCTCCCCACCACTTTCTAATAAATGCTTTTTACAAGCGGGACAACTGGGAGATAATATAGGAATCAATTCATAAAGCTTATTCTAAAGCGATTAATTTGTTGCCTCCAATCCAGAGTCCAATAAGCTCCTAGTGTTCCACTAGTCATTTATAGTATAAACAGATCAAGTTATTTACTGCCAATTAAGCAGCATGTTTTGTCTTTGTCCTTTGTAAACCGTATGTGCTCATAGCGAGGCATCTGGCTATCTGTTAAAGCCATTCAGACTGATACCTCCAAAGGAGGGAGGGCGAACTTTTCCTGCCCACTGGCCCAGCTTGGCTACAGGGGAGCCAGAATTTACATTCCTTAAATAGGCCGATTTTAAGCACACATTTCCCCAGAAAGAGTTCCTGAACTTCTGTCCAGTGACCGCACAATAAACCAGAAGAACTGCACCAATTAAGCTGTAACAAAAACCCTGAGACTTTGAAAAGAGAACCACTCTAAAAGCCATTAGCATTGCATTTATCTGAATGCATCATATACCTTTATGTAAATTGATTTCTGATGCATTTGCTCAAGGAATTGCCTTTTGTTAAGTTTCTATCCATAACCTAAGCGAAGCTGCATTTCCTGCTTTGAGACTTTAAAATGTTTAAAAAAGGTTTAAATAACTTCAGATCTCTTTAAAAACCCAAGACTCCAAGCTGCCGTTCCCAGTCTTGCTGAACGGTAAACATATACTATATTTTAAAAAAGGAAACGTTACACTGAGAAAGGCATCCAGTAACCCCATTAAGCTAAAGCTCTTAAGAACAAGCAATACCTTAATGCTGATTAAATCTAAAAGAGATGAATCAAGAGGACTGAGCAGAAAGTGACTCCCCTGATAACTAAGGACGGGCCCTCATCAAGTTTCATGGCGGGGTGGGGGGAAGAGAGAAGCTTTTAACTTAAATAGGCTTACTCTAGTAATTACATAGCCAAGCAATTTAGGTCCTGGGATAGAGTCAGTGAAATAGAAAGCAGAGCTGGCTGCTAGAGGCAAAATAAGCCCCCTTTTAACAATGTCTCTGGTGTTTTTTAATGGAGACCAAGGGAGGGACAAGCGCAGAGCTGGCAATTTGTAGTTTAAAAAAAATGGATGCTTAATTCATGTCTTGGTTTTAATTAGGTGATTCACCGGATTTCTCCTAGATTGAAACAAAAGACTGGGGGGGGGGGGGGGCGGAGAAAGGGCAGGCAGGGAATTGGAAAGGAAAGAATTAGGGAGCTCACTTTGATCTTTCCTGCCACTGTTTCAAAATACTGTTTACTACAAAGAGAGCGGGTGGCGGGTCCTCACACCCTCCTCTTCCCCTCAGTTCACCATTGAGCCAGGCAAAGCCCTTTTCCTTTAACAGCAGGGAAAAGCAGCCCAGAGCAGCAGCAAAGGAGCCTTTTGTAAGCAGGGACAGCTACAGTGCGTCCGGCCCCGCTGCTGCTCGGCTCCCCCAGAGTTTACAGGCACCCTCCTTCAGGCGACCGATTGAGTTTACCCGAAATCCGAGACGATTCGGGGGGGGGGGGGGACGACCGCAAAGAAGACAGAGCGCATGCAAAAAAAGAACCCCCTTACCTGTTTCCCCTCTATATTGCAAGAGGTCGGGGAGCAGCGCCGCTCTGGTTTACAGGGTGGTGTGTCAGGGAGAGGTTTTCTTGCAAAGAACCAAACACAATGCTCGCGTCCGCCGGCAGAGCTCCCCACCCCCGTCAGCGGCAGCCCGGCTGGCAAAATACAGACGAGAGACGTGCGGCAGAGCCCTTCCTCCAGCCCCCGCTTCCCTGGAAGGGAGCCGCGGCGCTCAGTCCCGGCCGCTGGGCTGTCGGCACAGGGCGCCGCCGCCGCAATCGCTGGGTAAGTTTGGCAATGTGGCTTCACTTTGTATCGCTCCCCCCGCCCTCAACCTCCACCCTCCTCGGCCGGGTCCGGAGCCTCCTGCAGCAGAGAGCCGACCAACCGCCCGCCGCGCGGCAAAACGCCTCGGAGCCCCGGGCGCGGGCAGCAGGAGAGCGGCCGGGGCGAGGAGCCGCTGGTGCTGCTACCGCTGGGGTTCCGCGGCGGCGGCGCTGGCAGGACTCGCAGGGAGGCCCCCTCTCCGTGCGCGTCTCTTTCCGCCGCCCATCCACGTGTGTTACTGACAGAGCAAAATCCCAACTACATCCCGGCTCTGCTCCCACCGTCAGCCGCGCGCAGCCAATCCGCCCCCCGCTTGTTCAGGCGGAATAATAAAACCTGCCAATCCCCGCCGAGACAAAGGAATGGGCGAAGGCGACGGGGGGGAGGGAGAGGCGGGGAGGAAGGAGGGAGTCAGGTGGGAAGCAGCAGCCTGGCTAGGGAGCGAGGAGAGGCTGTGCTTGGTGCTGCTGATCAGCGTCACGGGGGGGGGGGGATTGAGCGTCCCCTACCCTCACTGACTGTGCTGCCGGCTCTAGGGGAGGCTCATAATATTACTGCCCCTTCCTCCCCCCCAGCGGCCCTTCAGGAACTTATTTGAGAGAATCATTTTTGATCGCATAGAGACCGCCCCCCCCCCGGGAACAGGTTGTAGTGGGTCCTCTTTAAGTGTCTCCTACCTGCCCTTTCTCAGCCCTTTGATCGTCTGTACAACAAATGCACACACGCCAACTGCTGGGCTTTCCTCTTGCAGGGGGTTATATATAGAGCTCTTCTGCCTAAGCACTCTACATGGGTACGTAATATTACTCTTCGCGTTTAAGCGAAGCGGAGGGGGCGAGGGTCCACATAATCACTAAAGAGACAATCCTGCTTCCTTTGGCATCAAGAGCTGCAGGATCAAGTCCTAATCTAGTTTCTCCGGATACTTTTGTTCAGAAATTAGAGCGGGCACTTGGGATCATATTCTATTCACACACAGCTCCCCGTGACAGGTGTGTATCTCAGGCCAGAATGTGACCCTTTGATAAGGAAAAGACGGGGAGGGGAGTTGCGAGTAAAGTGGCTCTCTAATTCTGCCAGTGGAATTGACCATATGAAGCCACTGATTTTTAAGTACTCCCTACTGCAATCAATGGGAAGGTCTACTTAAAAATGAATGCCCCTATACAAGACAGTATTATTAATACTTCATAAAGGTTTAAAGGGGGAATATGTTCTATAGTCAGCTGGCAGTTAACTGCAGAGTGTGCCACTTGAAAGGTGCTAGTGGTGCTCTAAAGAAGAAACCCAAACAGTATGAAAGCCAATTAGAGGAACTAATATTCAGTAGTTATACACAGAGTGGAAAAATTAAATATTAATGGCACAGTTCTCAAGTCCCCAGCACATAGCACACAACACAGGCAAATATGGGGGGGGGGGGGGAGGAAGGACTCCAAGTAATAATTAGTACTGAAAGAAGCTTTAAATAGAACAGTGGTTTTCAAGGAGGGGTCTGCACACTATGTCTAAGATTTCCAGTGAGGTCCACACCTCCATTCAAATTTTTTTTAGGGGTCCACAAATGAAAAAGGTTAAAAACCACTGACATAAAATACAACACAACTTTGGGGGTTCTATTCTTGCAAACAGTAATCCCTGCAAGTAATGAGAGTCTAGGGGTAACTTTTTGCAGGTTTAGTCTCTTATCTAGTATAGGTTTCAGCCTATACTAGATAAAGAAAAGAAAAGAAGTACTTGTGGGACCATAGAGACTAGCCAATTTATTTGAGCATAAGCTTTCGTGAGCTACAGCTCACTTCATCGGATGCAAGTGACTGTAGCTCAGGAAAGCTTATGCTCAAATAAATTGGTTAGTCTCTAAGGTGCCACAAGTACTCCTTTTCTTTTATCTAGTATAGTCTCACCCAGTATATGGCAATATGCTTTACAGAGCAAAACACAGCTAAAAGAGTGAGATAAATAAACAGATATATAGGATTCATTTATTTAGCATAAAAAGTTTATAATCTCAAATTACTTGTTTAGCAACTTGTAAACAACAATAATTAAAATTAGAACATCAGATTTATGCTGGTCAGAGTTAAAAACAGGTTTTTAATAAGGCACAATTAGTGACAATATGTAAGGTACCTTTTAAAAATATCCCAGAATGAAATGAACATTTAGTCATAGGTGTCCCAGGCCTACCTCACCAGGTGGAGCAGTTGGTTGCTTTGGGCAGTAAAATGTGTAGTGATGCCACAGTATCAGTGCCCAGGGCAATACAAAATCCTAGAGCTGTTTCTGTAAAACTAATTTAGAAGTGATATATTCACATATGTTGGTGAGAAGATTTTAGTTGGGGACATTTATTTGCAGATGGTGTATTTGTACTAATATGAAAACTGCATTATCTCCTTGAAAGACCAAAAAGTAAACGTTGTCACTGTAATCAAAATCCAGGTGTACTTTAACCACAGCGCCACCTATAGGTGTCCTTTATTTCTGCATCTTGTCCTTAATTGGACCAAAAAGAAGTTAGAATTTAAAAAATGTTTAGGTAAAAAAAAATCTACAGGAAAACAGTTGTGGATGACATAGATATAAAGTTATATTTTTGATGACATAGCCATTAAATATTATATTAAAAGTCAGAGATACGATTTAAATGTAGGGAAACAGCCAATCTTTCACTATGCATTTCCCCAGCATACATACAACAGTTGACTGGGAGCTCATTGAAGGATAGGAACCTTCATCAGAAGTGGACAAGGGATACGGTTAAAAATGAGGGATCCATTTCTTTATCATGTCCATGCAATTTATCACCTAGATATCATCTCCACAAATATACGAATACATTCTCTCCACCTAAATATTTGTCATTTAGGTTCTGGTACAATTTAAAACTTAAAGTGACAAGGTACGTTACAGATATCAACAATTGCCATTTGCCTATGCTCTGACTGGCTAACAGCAGTCCAAACAGAGCCAAAGCTAAAATAAATCAAAATCTTAATTATCTAACTCTGTCAGGTCCTGAGGGTTACACCAAATTCAGACTCTGGAGGACCCATAAGGGTTTCTCACAGGGAAAGGTTTTTTTGTTTGTTTGAACCAAGAAAGCTCTGTTATTGACCCTGATGAGTTTACCAGTCTTCAACATGATGGTATTTTATAAAGTGAGAGAGACTCTCCCAAGCAGCCAAGTCCTAGACCATTTAGGGTTTTAAAGATTCTTCCTAAACACCTGTTACAATATATTCAACTCTGCATTTTCTATAATATTTTCACCAATTGTGATTAATTAAAAAGCACCTTAACTAAGAGCATTTTGCAGAATAATAATATTCTAATTTTTCTTTTGTGCAGCATCTGCTGTTGCTGAGCTGTCACCTTCATTGCTATGTTTTTCATTGTGTGTCACAATGTAATTAGTCAGTTCAGCATACTCTTGTTATGAGCTGAGGTGTTTCTATGGTAAGTTAATATAGTTCTGTGTAACTGGTAGTTTAATAGTGGGCATAAATGTGACCACCGACTTCAGGTGAGTTGAGTCCATAAGGTTTCAATCCATCTGGCATGATTCTCCCTGGAAAACTCTTAATTGTGGCTGAATAAATAATATATACAACACAAAAGAAAAATCTGTCTGCTGATAACATGGCATTTTAAGAGTCAGGGAGAGACTCCTAAAGTGGCTTGGATGAAAGCTGCTACCTGAATGGCTGAGAGGGGGTTCAACTAATGTTGAAATTACTTCCATGCCCATGAGATAGTGTCCAGGGAGTGCAGAATCCAGGGAGTAGAGTTCCTCTCAATTCCATGGAATGAGTCTCTCTTCGGTCTCTAACCGATGCAGAATCCTGTAGAGGTTCAGCTGTCTTATTTCTTTTCCCCTAGGTTCCTGAACTATTGAGGTGGCCACTTCATGGAGAGATCCTCCTTGTTGCACCCCTGCTATTCTCTGTCTCTTCCAATCTACACCTTTTGGACAAGCAACCCAGCCCTTAAAGCAAACTCTTCAATCGCATGACTCTGGAGGTTGCTGTGAAAATAAACTGCCATTTGCTATTTTTAAATAATACTACTTTTCATTAATATAGCCCCTTATATTCCAGGATCTCAAAGAATTTTAAAACCTTACTGAAGTAAGCCTGGTAGAGTTGGTATTACTGTCCAATTTCTACTGATGGGAGAGAGAGCAAAAGACCAGAAAAGAGTCCAACAGAGCTGAAAAGAAAATCCATACGACTTCCAGCACCTTCCTCTAACCACTAGCCGATGCTATCTGCTCTAAATAGCAAATTGAGCTATTTTTAGAATAGACACGCTATGTCACTTTATTAGTGACAATATGTCACTGTGACAATGTCACTTTGTTCTTCAAATCCTTAGTCACACGAGTAACATTACCCACAAGAGTAGAGAATCCCATTGAAATCAGTCAGTGAGGACTATTCATATAGGTAAGAGTTTACAAGATATGGGTCTCATATCACCATCATTGGATCCACAGCTTAGTACAAAAGTCAAGTAATACAAATTGCACAAATATATATATATAATGGAGTCATTTTAGGAAGAGGTAAAGCCAGCTAATTCGATAAAGCATATGCCTTTAAAATGACATTGCCAGGAATAAAATTATTTGTAGTTACTTGCACTAAGCCCAGATCCTCAAATATATTGAAATGGTAGCCAGCCATATGTGTAAGAGCCATTTATAAATTAATAAATAGGTATTAAGGTTGTAAGTCAAGGGCCTATGGGCCTCAGGCCTGTATGACAATTCATTTAGCATAGATAAGACCTGGATATAAAATGGCAGTAATGATGTGGGTAGTTACTAAGTTAGTTATTTTTAACCAGTTAGTTTGACCTTAAGTCTCAAGGTAAGTATTACAGAAAACAAAAGTGGTACATAGTGAGAAAAGGTGAAGTGAGGTACCGAAAAAGCATTCCCTTGGAATCTTAGGGAAAGTTTAAAAGGATGTTGAGCTTAACTGAAACTTACATGTACTAACTGCAGGTGGCAACTAACCGACGTAAATGTTAATGAGTATAATGTAAGTGATTAATTGACCTGTCAAAGATGGGGACCCCAATATTATCAAGGTGTGGTACAAGGAAAGAAAAAGTTGAAAACATCATTGAATGTGCCCAAGGTATGGCAGGTGTTAGTGTAACCCCTTGTAAAGGATATTACTCAGCTTAAGGGCAGTGGAACACCCTAAGCTGATGACCACACAGATGATC